CCCGCGGCTCCAGGTACTGCAGCGCCAGCCCCAGGTTCTCCCCGTTGGTGCTCAGCGAGCGGCTCGAGGGCACCAGGGTGAAGAGATTCCCTTGGTGACGTCGGATCCGGGGAAACGTCCTGCGGCCTGGGGAGAAGGAACATCCTTAAACAAATGTTTGCAATGGGAGGTAATGGCTGGGGGCTGAGCAGCGGGGAGAAGGGAGAGAAATCCCAAGTTCTGCTCTGTTCCCATGGAGCAGAATCTGCTGCCAAACAGATGAGGTGCAAAAATATAACAGCTCAGGGCTGGTGCTGCCTGAGTTCAGTACAGCCCTGGATCATTCCCAAAGCAGAAGGCAGAGAACACTCTGTAATGCCCTCAGTGCTGTAAGATCTAAACTTACCTTCCAAAGGAAAAATCTGGTTTACAGGCTCCGAGTTTTGTTAACAACTACATACAAAATTACTTTCTAGATAACGGACTTGCAAATGACTTTCTGCGCCCAGACTTGCAAATAAAAACCATAAATAAAGATTATGCCAACTTGCACCTCCTGAAATTTTGAGAGATTATTTTGCATAAAGCCATCTGATTGAGCAGAGATGCAATTCTTTAAGTCCCTGCTATATTTAAAAGACCCAGAAGCGAGTCTGCAATGCAAATTAGCAAAGTATAATGAATCTCTGTGGTAGGAAAGTACTTACATAGGGCCAAGTCTAACAATTATGTCTACAATTCCCTACTCAGCCTGGGTAACACCACAAAGGACAAAGAACTACAAAGTAAACAAAGAATTACAAACAACAACCATTTGTCTCCATGAAAATGTGGCATCATGCAGCATGAATCTCAGCACTAATCGCAAGGACCAGGCTCTCCAAATAGGAGTCACCCTTGTGTAGAGGTTGCCACTGCCTCACCTTTCTTCCCCAGCCTGGAATGGGAGGTGTGGGACCAACTGTGAGACCAACTCACCATCGCTGTAGTCCTTGTGCTGCATGGAGACGTTGTAGCGCCGAGGGTAGGTGCCACCTTTGCCTGCCTTGTCATAGATCTGATTCTCACGGTCTGCCAGGAGAAGCAAAGACAAAAGTGAGGCTCCTTCAAAAAAATATTAACTTCTAATAATGGAATTTTCCTGTAACAGCAGGTTTTTAGGAAGGGGCAATAAATAACTTCATAGCCTTTCCATCATCGTGTCCCCACTTCTTCTATTTATACAATGCCAGCAAGCAGGGAGGGCGGCCAGCCAAGAGCAGAAAGTGTCTGGGTCAAATAACCTTTGTAGCAAAGACATACCTGAGAACTCCTGCCTGTTGTCAGGAAAGCTCTGTGCCCTTGACATCCGTGACTTCCGAAAAGAAGGGCTAATAGAGAAAGAAGGCGAGGGTAAGTTTTGCTGCTGTTTGGGGTATTTATTTTGTTGTTTTATTTTCTAAACGAACAAGTAGAGCCTTGTCTAAAAGAGATTTAAATACCCTGCAGCCAGATGTTCTCAGAGGGGCGGCTCCACACAGGCTGCTCGCTTCAGAACTTTGTATTTATAAATTAAAGCTACTGAAGCACCAGTTTGCAGGTCTGTGGTTGTGCCAGAAAATAACACAGCCTTAAGACATAGTTAATGCTGTTTAATGCTCTTGTTAAAGCTCTTGTTTCCCTCCAAGAAAATGTATGAGATAGAAAAGAGGATTTTATGTAAGTACAACTGGCATTGCCACCTGAGCACCCTCGTTCTCACCAGTTTGTACATTTGTACCTGGCTGCTCACCTGTCCAAGGACTGGCAGCTTCCTGACACCGAATTTTCAGCACTGCTTAGAGGGTCCAGCATCTGCAACACAGAAGAAACCACACAGCAACATGAGTGCACTTCAGGAGAGGCTGTGACAGAGAAGCAGAGCCCATGAGTGTTTGCCTGCAGGATGTCCAGCTGAAGAAGGGAGTCTAAGCCTATTTAAATGTATAATTTTCCTTTATCTCCCACAGAAATTTGGTTCACATAAAATGTGAGGCACTGCTTTAGTTGTTGAAGGACTCTGCTGTGAAAAATGCAAGCTTTAGCAGCCTTGTGCTGAATTGATCCCAACTGGCTCCAGAAACAGTCTCTGCTGGTGCTGCTGCCTCCACCTGCAAGTCGCCCTTTGGCCTCACTTCCCACTTTTCTGAATGGAGAGCAGAGTTTCAAAAGCAAGAGGGTCACACAAACCTGGTAATAGGAAACCTTATCACATGTGTGACAGCACCAAAACTGCTCAGTCAGAGCTGGAGGGGCAATGCCCAGAACGGGGAACGGCTTCTGGCAGCCCAACAAAGGCTTTGAACTTACACAGCTACAATCTGAAGCTGTTTAAATGCACAAAGCAGCACTTTTATAAACCCAGAATGGTTTGGGTTGGAAAGAACTTTAAGGGTCATCCAATTCCACCTTCTACCACGGGCAGGCACACCTTCCACCAGATCAGGTTGCTCTAAGGACACTCTTAGGGATGGGGCAGCCACAAATTTCTGAACAACGCGCGCCTCACTGCTTAAAGGTGTGGATGCAACCAGAGCCAGTGAATATTTGGGAAAGGAAAGGAGGGCCCAGATGCCAGCAGAGCCCCTTGGCAGGTGGGTACTCACGCACTGCTCGCTGGTCTCGGGGATGAACTCGCCCTCGCTGTGGATGCTGGTGTAGGAGCCCTGGCGGGCGATGCGCTGCTGCCGCTCGGGGATGTAGCCGGGCGGGGGAGAGCTGCGGCCTGTGTTCTGGGAGCCTGTGACAGGGACACAGGCTGTGACAGGGACACAGGCTGTGACAGGGACACAGGCTGTGACAGGGACTCACCCTGCTGCTGGGGCACTGCTGCACAGCCACCCCGCCACAGCACTGCCCTGTCCCCCACAGCAACTGCAGAGTGAAGCTCACAGTCTGTGAAACCAAACTGTCTGATGTGCACCATCCCCAGTGCCTCCACACCAAACCTCTATCTCTCACAGTAACTGCAGAGTGAACCTTACAGTGTGGATAGACACGAGACCAGGAAAACCAAACTGTCTGATGTGCACCATCTCCACCACACCAAACCTCTATCCTCCACAGCAACTGCAGAGTGAACCCTACAGTCTGTGAAACCAACCTGTCTGATGGGCACCATCCCCAGTGCCTCCACACCAAACCTCTATCTCTCACAGTAACTGCAGAGTGAACCCCACAGTCTGTGAAACCAACCTGTCTGATGTGCACCATCCCCACCACAGCACATCTCTATCCCCCCACAGGAACTGCAGAGTGAACCCTACAGCCTGGACAGACATGAGATGAGGAAAACCAAACTATCTGATGTGCAGCAGCCACCCCACAACAGCACAGCCCTATCCACCACAGTAACTGCAGAGAGAACCCCACAGCCTGGATAGACATGGGACAGGGAAACCAAACTGTCTGATGTGCACCATCCCCAGTGCCTCCACACCAAACCTCTATCCTCCCCAGAGTGAACCCCACAGCAGGACAGACATGGGACCTGTGAAACCAACCTGTCTGATGTGCACCATCCCCAGTGCCTCCACACCAAACTATCCTCTCCAGAGTGAACCCCACAGCCTGGACAGACATGGGACCTGTGAAACCAACCTGTCTGATGTGCACCATCCCCACCACAGCACATCTCTATCCCCCCACAGTAACTGCAGAGTGAACCCTACAGTCTGTGAAACCAAACTGTCTGATGTGCACCATCCCCAGTGCCTCCACATCAAACCTCTATCCTCCACAGTAACTGCAGAGTGAACCCCACAGCCTGGACAGACATGGGACCTGTGAAACCAAAGTGCCTGATGTGCACTACCCCAACCACACCACACCACACCTCTATCCCCCTCAGAGCGAACCCCAGAGTCTGGACAGACATGGAAACAGGGAAACCAACCTGTCTGATGTGCACCATCCCCACCACAGCATATCTCTATCCCCCCACAGGAACTGCAGAGTGAACCCCACAGCCTGGATAGACATGGGACAGGGAAACCAAACTGTCTGATGTGCACCATTCCCACCACAGCACATCTCTATCCCCCACAGCAACTGCAGAGTGAAGCCTACAGTCTGTGAAACCAACCTGTCTGATGTGCACCATCCCCAGTGCCTCCACACCACACCTCTATCCCCCTCAGAGTGAACCCCACAGCCTGGACAGACATGGGACCTGTGAAACCAAACTGTCTGATGTGCACCTCTACTGATGTCTCAGATGCTAAGTAATTATTGCTGAAGCTCCTGACAAAGCAGCCACCTATTTCTAACCTCTTCTGCCCAACCTTCTGAGCATAATTCCAGTTTAATAATCTGTTAGTGGCACTACCTAAAGAGTTGCTCTTGTGCTACCTACTGAGAGAAACTTCACTCTTAGGGTTTATTTTTTTCCTTGCAGATCTCAAAGAAGATGAAACTAGATACAGGAAGAAAAAAAGCCCTTTTTTGCAGTGACCTATCCACCTGCAGCTGCCACCAAATCCCACTGTGAGCTCCAAGAACTGCTGTTGGTCCAGGCCAATCTGCTCCAGGTCACACATGAAGCCAGAGGCAGCAGGTGGAGATCAGCCCTCAAGCTGTGCTCCTTACAACACTGTCTTTAATTAACTGTGTGTACTCAGGTGCTAGGAAAGATGGGTAAAGATCAGCAAATATTCTCCCAAGGAAAATATTTTCTATAGAAGTTGTAATAAAGAGTGAAGGCAAAGAGCTGGGAGAAGTGAAGAGCACAAAACTTTCAGGGGGCTGCAGAAGGAAAATGAACAATGCTGGCATGGCTTGGAGTGCAAGAGGGAGGAACTACATGATGAAAATAAGGGATTAATAAAATCATGGGATCATTATGGTTGGAGAAGATGTCCAAGATCATAAAGCCAAGACTGTCAAGTGCAAAATCTATTTCTCAGAGCTACCACCTGATGTCCCAGGCAGCTCGCAGGGCTGGGGAGCCCTCTGAGCCCTCTGGAGGGGTGGGATAACCCTGGCAGTGCCCGGGCTGCCCCAGCCCTGGAGCACTTTCACTCCTTCCGACAGATGGCACGGGCAGAGCCAGCCCGGCCCGCTGGCACCGGCCCAGGGGCTGCTCTGGAAAGGCCCCATCCCTGGGCAGGAAAAGGAAGTCGGCACTAAATCCATGTATATCAAAGGAAGTGAGTGGAAAAAACACAAGCTCTGCCAGAATGCTTAGTAACTTTTTTTTTTTTTTTTTTTTTTTTAACTTTTAAATAAAAGTTATCGTTACTTCCAAAGCTCTGAGCTGGTGACAAGAGGCTGGGGCTGTTTGGAGCTCAGGAACCACACAGGTTCCTCTCCTGCCTGCAAAAAGCTTTATTGAACACTGCTATGGACTCTAATTGTGTGACATGGGATGAGTTGGAGAATCTCTATTAACACCAGCAAACAGGGCACCTTCCTCTTCCAAACCAGACAGGAAAAGAGAAGGAAGAAGAAATTGATGCAAACCAAGCTATTGCCAAATTACCAGCAGACCTCTGACACAACTGGAACTCTTCTGGACCTCTCAAATCTAACAATCTGGTACTCTGACATGTTCACAAAATAAAAGCAAAGGTTTCCTGACTGATGAATGACAAGTTATTCAGAAAGCATCCATAAGCTGGGATTGGAGGAAAGAGTGTGAAACTGGGGCCCCTTATCACGGCACAGTTCACCCATGACAGACACTTGCTACACTCTGTTGGCTTTGGCACCATTACCTGGATACCTCAGAATGAGAGTAAAGAAAAAAAAAATAAATATATTTTAAATGAAATAATTTTGGCATTCAATTTGTTTGTTATAGAAGAAATGTGGTGTTCAGACATGCATGGATACCACTTCTCAGGACCACGGAATGTTGCTCTTTTTATGCATATTAACTTCAAACTAGGAAGGAGAGTAAAAGTCTTTTTGTCCCTGTTTCAGTCACGTACTTCACAAGCTTTCAGTACTTTGTTTGCTGCTTCATAAAAGCAAATTGTACAGAAGAGGATCAGCAAACTCTCCACAGGATACAAGCAGGTTTGTTAGAAAAGTCCCACACCAAGAACCACTGCTCTGGTTCACAACTCCTTCCCTCTAAGCTCACTCACTGTTACCTCTGCTCAGAGAATGTGGATCCAACTCTGGTTTGGCCTCCAGAGTATGGAGATTGTTGTGGTTTAAGCTGATTTATTATTTGATATTGATCTAAAATCGTGTAATAATTCTGCCTCAAGTTCACTGAGTTAATGAAAGTACTCCTTTGCTACAGTGAAGAACTTGCAAACAAAACAATTCTGACATTCCCAGCTCCTGGCATTGCCCTGTGTGACTTGCATTGCTTGTCCTCAGGCATTAGCTGTGACAAGCCCCAAAATAGCTGTTGTAACAAACAGAGTCATCCTCTGCTTCTGTTTCCAGCAAAATTTACCTTCTCTCCTTTCTGAAGCAGAAATAGTTCATGCAGAGCAGATTTCAGCTCTGGCCTTCACACCCTCACCTTCCTCCTGCACCTTCACTGCTCACTGAGCCTCACACCAAGGAGTCAAACCCTAAACCACACACTTTTCTGGTGCTTTTTTGGCCCATAAATCCTTGAAGGTGTTTTGCATGGTTTAGTATTTCATATAAATGTTAACAGCTTTGAGAATCGTTCAAGAACAGATTTGAATTGTGCTGCATGGTTAGAGTAGGTTGTAACACAGAAACTGGGAGAAATCAGACAAATCTGCCAAAGATGGAAGTCATAAAAACTACAGAAGTCTTACATGAAACTTTCCCCCAAACAGGAGTTCACTGGGCTAAGAGAAACCCAAAGAAATGAGACAAAAGTATATATTACTCTGATTTTTTAAATTATCTTTTGTGCACCTCTGATTTTGTCTTGTGCTGATAAGTCTATAAGTGAAACTTGAGGCAATTCAGAATGTAGGACACTAGCTGGATATGCAATAGTAATTCCCAGCAAAATGCTTGATTACAGGAGTCAGGAGAGATTCCAAAGCCCAACATAAAAAAAAACCAAATCTAGGTTACATGAACTGAAATTGCCAATCTAAATAAAAAGCTTAATAGACTCACATCAGCTTTCCAAATTTCTAACCACAATGGCTCTGGCTTTAGGACATCCCCTTTAGCAGCTCCTCAGCTGTTCCACAGCTTAGCAAGGAACTTTGAAACATTCTACTGTAAACATATTAAGAGCTTTTGAAAATGAACTGCCTTGTCCCAGAATAACCTTTCAATTTCTCATGGCTCTCCTAAATGCTCTACCATAAACACTAGTGCCCAAAAGCTTCATTTCAACAAACAAAAACATGTAGAAGTGACAAAAATACTCACTGACAGACAGATGCCTGCTTCTGGGTTCTGGCTGCTGGTAGGGTGTGCTCACATCCCCTACAGATTGGGAAGTTTTAATCCTGACTTGCTTGGGCAGTCCAGAATGGGGTGAAGAACTGCTCTGTTGGGTAAAATGGAAAGAATAGAACAAAATAAAGTGAGATGAAGGAGCTCAAGTAGTCTGGACACAGTTAAAAAAAAATATTATGTTTAGTACCAAGAAAGTGCTGAGCAACAGTTCTAGAGCCTGAAATCTTATTAATTCAGAAAATACAAACAAAAAGAGAGCAAAAGAGCCAGGTTTACAATTAGGGTGTAAAACAGGAGACAGAGAACTGGAACAAGTGCAGCTCAACTCAAGTGCCTGATCTGCAGGTCTGTGTCTGACATTTTCTGGGGGGCTCCTGTCACAGACCAGAACACAGAAGCACCTCCAATTTCCATCAGCCACCTTGGCCAGCAGAGACAAATTCTGAATCTTGCACTGTTTCAGAAGCAACCTGACTCCCCACAGCCTTTAAAAAGTAAATTCGTAACTCAGACTAAGTAAAAATAAATTCTGGAGAGTTTAATAGCACCAACAGTCAGGAGATGCCAAGATGAAGTTATTCATCCTTCCCCTGAACTTACATAGATATTATCTAATTAAAGATAATTTTTCCACAGAGCTCTCATCTTATTCAAAGCAAGAAGAGGAGTGAGACACATGAAACTTCCCCCAAGCCACTGAGATGCTGTTAAAGCAGAGGCTCAATACCTGCAGACATTTTCAATTTTAACCCTGACCCAACACACCTGGTTTTACAAGGTGTAATATTCCCCTCCTCTTGAGTTACAGAATTTATCTTATTTGAAAAGAACATAACCAAAGACACCTCAAGGAAATAAATTTTGACTTCTGAAAATTATTTGAACATGACAGGCAAAGAAGGTGCAACAACTCAAATACTTTAATTAAGTATTAAATTACTGGATGGTTGCACATTTAATGAGTGCATACACTTGAAAGGAGTAAGGAAAGAGTCTGATTTAAGTCACATAAACTCCACCATGGGCAGGTCCATGGGAGCTGGATGAAGGTGCTGATAAGGTCACCCTGCTTAAAAAGCTGAAATATTTTAGCCCCCAAACAGCTGCTGAAGGGGAAAAAAAAAACAACACAAAAAGACACTTATAGCTGAGCCAATGCAAAGAAGATAAACACATGCATTTGTGCCTGGGAAAAGTGATTTTATAATCCCTGTCACACTCAGTTAATGCTGCCATCATGCTTCAGAGTCTTAGGGGTAAACCCCTTGATTTTGCAGTCCCAGAAGTTGTTACCCACATGGTTTCTGTCCTGGGACAGCAACAGTATCCTCAGGCTTTTCACATTTGAGCTCCTGTCCAAGAGATCCACAGCTTTATCCAGGTCATCTTGGTTTTTCAAAGGAATAGAGAGCTGCAAGATAAAGAGCATGGAAGAAAATCACTAGAAAACAGAGAAAAAAACTCTGCTTGTACAATGGGTTGTTTAAATACAATGGGTATTTAAACAAACATTAGAGAAACACCAGACTGTAAAACAGAATTCTGATTGCTCAGTTAATCCATAAATTTTCATGCCAATGCTGTCTTACTGTCCTTTTCAATGAGGTTTTCCTCCCAAGTCAGAGAAATAGCAAACCCTAATGCAAATTCCTCTAAAGCATCACCCACAAAATATGAATTGCTACCTGGATTTGCAGTTTGCAAAGAACAGAGACTTGTCAGCCCCTGACTTTCTGATGAGAAAATGGTCTCGGAATACTTATGAATCCAGAACTAATGAACAAGTGAAAATTTGGTTTCATGTAGAAATAGTGTGTCCTAAGCAACACACAACAAGATGCTGATGTTTGTACAACCATCAGTGAGATGCTTTATCAGGATCAGCACATTTGCCTTTGCATCAGGGATTCAACAACGGTTTGTATTAAAGAAAGACCCGAAAATGAAATTTCTGTGTGGGGAATTTGTGCTGGGGAAAGGAGGTGTCCCAGAGAGAGCCCTGAGAGCTCAGTACCTCGTTGTTCATGTAGTGGAGGTCCAGGGGCTGCCCAAAGGCCGTTTTCACTTTCTGCTGCACGTCTTCGTAGCGCACGGGACGGACAAACGGAATAATCCTGGCAGGAAAGAGATACACTCGATAATGCAATCAAATCACAGGCTGAACCACTAAACCCACATCTGAATGGTCTCCTTTCATCCACAAGCAAGCAGGGAACCTTTCAAATTGAAATTTGTATGTATTATTTCAATAAGGAGTTATTGATCTCTGGCCCATTTCCATACAGTTTGTCAAAATGCAATATTCAGCTGGAGGTTTCAAAAAGAATCCCTTTGTCCCTGGGCAGAAAAGAATCCTTCTTTTTTGAATAAATGTCTTTCACATAACAGGATACAAATGCCCTGTGCACCTTGGCTTAAAAAATACCACCTGCTCTGGCACAGATGAGATTCTGCCACAAAGAGCTGGATTGTGAGCACCAATTAACAAACTTGTCACGAGGCAGAAATAACAGGATACAACAAGGTCTCCCCCGAGCCTACTCTTCTCCAGGCTAAACAATCCAAGATCCTCTTCACACATGAACTATTAAAATATCTGGTTATACATTTTGTCCTCAGTTGGAAGATGAGTGTTCTTTCCGATGCAATTTCTGCTAGTTAACTTTCAGAAGAAAAAAATCTTTTGCAATGAAAAAAACTTTCAGGTTTTTTTATATTTCTTTTGCTACATCAGCACACTACAAATGATCAAGGGACTGTTTGGACTTCCAAGCTACTGAGAGGTCCATTCCAACCCAAACCATCCTGGGATTCTCTGGCTCTGTGCTTTGGAGAGAAGATTTAGTTTCCCAGCCATCCATCCACACAGCCTCATCAGCCCTGGGTATCCATCTCTTGATTTAATGATTATCATGATTATCATGATTTAATAACACAAGGGTTATTAAATAACCCTTGTGTTCCTCAGCCCTTCCCATGAATAGTTATTTTACCACCAGACCTACAACATTCAGCTCTTTGGAAATAATTGTCCTTGTTAAAAAGCTGCCCACAATAACATTTTCTACATATTCCTAAGAAATCCATACATGAAATCACAGTGCTCTGGCACCACACAAATGCCATGTGGCTCTCAGTCCCTTATAAAGGCTCCCATTCTACACTCAATGCTTTCAAAAGCAGAGCTGTTCTCAGGTGCCACAAATTTTATTAGTTTAAAAACTCTGTGCACTCCTCTAACACAAAATCCTGGACTGCAGGGTTTAAGGAGCCCATTCCTGCCTGACCACCTTAAATATTTGTGGTCAGATCTGGCAGCTCCTGTGAAACCAAGCACACACACTGACATTCTGGTGCAAGCTCCCTGTCTGGAACTGCACACCGTGCTGGGAGCAGGGAATTCAGGCGAGCACAACTGCATAATTACACTGACACACAATCAACCTTTTCATTTTAGAAATAAAAAAAAACCAGGAGAAAACCCTTCTGCCCCCTGGAATGCACCCAGCAGACAGGCAGGATGATAAGCCTGTGGTGACAGCAGAGTTCCCCTGTGGTGACACAGTGTGACAAGGAACTGGGACATGGCCCACTGTGCCTCTGCTGTTGTCCCCACAAAGCCCCTGACACACAAGAGTGCTGAGCAGACCTGGCTGACAAAGCAGGAAGCAAATCCCAGTGATGATTACCTGTAAAATTTCTCCCACAGCACAAGAAGTCACTGACAGAATTCATCACAGAGGATTTCAGTGAAAGAAACAGCTCGAGTTTTGAGGAAGAGTAGAAATTATTCCCCAGAGCCTGCTTTGCCAACAAAGAACACTTCTGCTTTCCTAACAGAAATCCCAAAATCTGACAAAGCAGGAGCTTCAACAACCTGGCCAATAACCTCTGCTAGAACAGGCTGTGAGGATCACTACACACAACTTGTCCTGTGCCATGGACATTAAATTTACATTTTATCATGAAATTGTGAACTACTTCACGATGGAAATACTGCCTGGCCTGAGAGACACCATCTCCCAAATGGTACATACATTCATGCTTACAACCCAATTAATATATTCCAAAATATGGACACTATAGCCCAGCATCCAGACCATGTTTTCCAGACCCAGAGACCACAGACAAGCCTGGAGCCCTCCTGAGTTCACACAGCCACGAGTCATTAAATGTTTCAAGAGTTCCTCTTGAATTGATGGCAAATAAGAGGATTTTTGGGACCTACTTTGAAATATTTCAGCAATTTTATCCATTGTAAACAATGCTGTAAAAACTGAAACTGCTATTTCAGTTATTTCTGGGGTTTTTTTTTCTTGTAAAAGAATGTCTCTCAAAACCAAATATCAGAGGAAATAACAAAGAAGCTTTTACACCAATGAAAAATAAAAATCTTTCTTTGCTGTATCTATTGCTCAATCACAGCAGGGCAGTGATAGTGACAGGGCATCAGGAAGTGAGAAATTAGAAAAGAATGATGCTGATTTGATCAGCTTCATTTGGTTTCAGTTAAATGAAACAAAATGGGAACATATCTGAAAGAAGACTTTCAGGCTGAATTTTTTTCAGGCTGGACAGCTTTTAAAAATGCTGCAGTTCACTTACAAATAAATGTTATGGAAATAAATCAGTGTTTTATGACACACTGATCTCTAAAAATAACCAAGTTGTGTGTGAGCTGTTTGTTGTTGCCTTCACTGTGTGATTTCCATTCAGGAAAAAGGAAAGCAAAGCCAACAAAATATTTAAGCGAAATTACTGATGACTGAATTATTCTCCCAAGCAAAGAATCAAAGCAGTGAAGGCCAACTCACCGTCTCTCCCCATTATGTTCAAACTTTATCCTGACATCATTCTGCAGGAGAAAGAACAAAAGGTGAGCTCACAATCAAACTCTGGCACACACAACAGCACACAAATGCACCATATTATGATTTTAGTATTTTAATTTTCTCCATAGAGGCTGAAGCAGACTGTGGAAATAAAGGGCTGATACATGAACACAGCACGTGAGGAATGGAGAAACTGCTGAAGGAGAAAGAGAAGGAAAGGGGTAAAAACAAAGCTGTAATTTTTGTAAACTGACACTTCAACAGAGGACATTGAAATAAACTTTGAAAAAAAATCAATCTATCTTTTACACTGCATGGAAAAAATTTGAAATTCAGTCCTAATTGCTTATTAATCTGAAGGCAATTTTCTTTAGGCATGCTCAGAGCATGCATGGCAGAAAACAGAGAGGGAATGGGCTACAATTTCTATTCCTACTCCTATTTTTGAATTTTTATTCCTATTTATTATTCCTTATTCTTAAGACATGGACTAAATCTCTGCTTTTGCAAAAATGCAGCCCCTGAAACTCAGAGTTACAATCAGGCTGATTCTGTGCCACCTTTTAAAGTTCTAAGGTTTCAGCAAAGGGATCATCACCACTACCTGGTAGTTAAAAGCACTGTGCAACCTGTGCAGTCACTGTAAACTCAGAAGATGCTGGGTGGCATGCAAGAGTCAACAAGCTGAACTTTCAACTCTGGACATTGAAGTTCAAATCCCAATTTAGGTCAGAAAGATAAAAATAAAAGGGAAAAACCTACTCTTGATAAGACTCCATCATTTCTGCTGCACAATTTATGTGATTGGAATAGATTAAGCCATCTGTGAAAGCCTCAGACAATAGGCAATCATACATCTAGGAACTTCAAAAAAAAAAAAAAACGTGGCCAGGAAATGCTCTTTAGCTGGAGGAAGTTTCTGGCAGGCCCAGGGGTGAAGAATGCAGCTCCAAAGGACCCACGGAGTCCCTGGGAGCACACGGAATTCCTGCAGGGCTGCACCAGGGAAAATGAACCTCCCAACCCCAGCAGTGACCAGCTGCAGCTGGGCCACTCACATGGCACTTTAAACAGTGGTTTTTGCATGGAGGAAGAGAAAAAACTTAGTCTAGAATTACTCCAAAATGAAAAAAAAAATAATCAACAGAACCCATGTAATTGATCAATAAAGGAACAATGCAGCAAACAGCACAGGAATAACATGAAGTCACTGCACAAAGACATATTCCTAATTTGTAATTGCTAATAAGGAAATGAAGTTGGTTTTCTTACCGGAATTTTTTTTTCTTCCACTGCAGAGGCACACTGGTTCATTATTGCAGGGCTGCCCAAGAGGGGGGGACTGCTGGCATTGTGTTTTTTCTTTAAAA